AATGGAGACAGAAAACACATAATGTATCCATTAGGATGCCTTTGACTGCATCTCAGAGGAACTCTGGATTCAAATAAGATTCCACAAATGGAAATTTTATTATTTCACATTTTTGGAAGACCAGAGTTGGGAGAGCCCTGAGCATAGTTCCATGAGTGATTAAAAAATGATAGTTCCATCTTTCCATCTGCCATCTTCAGTGTATTAGTCAGGATGGGGTAGGATATGCTGTAATAACGGACCCCAATTCTAGTGGATTTATGATGAAAAAGTATATTTTTTCTCAGGCTACATGTCCATAGTGGGGCATTATTTTTATTATCTGTGGGCTCTACTCACTGTCGTCACTTACAATCTAACAAAGCTACTTCCACGTAGAATATTGCTGATCACTAAGCCAGAAGAAAATGAGAGCTTTAGAGTGACTCCAAGTTGCAATTAGATGCTCTGGTTCAGAAATAACACATCATTTCTGCTCATGATTTGTCGATCAGTTCGTACTAAGTCACTTTCCCCTCCTACTCACTAATGAACCCAGAATTGCAATTCTACTATATGTATGGAAGGTAGAAATATTTAGTGAGAAGCACTAGTGACTATGAAACCGAATTTCAGTTGCAACTAACCACTGGTTTCTGTCATGGGCCCCACCCCCACCTCAAGTTCATAACTGCCAGAAAAACAACACTCAAAAAAATAGAGGAATTACCACTGGTTTTAAGAGCAAGGAAAAATCTCCCAGAATCTCTCAACAGTTCCCTCATTTTGTATTGGCCAGAACTGGATCACATGTCCATTTTTAACAAATCACTGGCAAGAGAAATAAGATTATTATGGTTGGCTTAGCTCAACTAGGATTTACTTTCTAGAGCCAAGGATGGGGTCACTTTCCCCCAAACCTAAGGGCTATCTAGGTGTTAAAAAAAGATGCTTCTTCCCTGGAATGTTTGACCAGTTCAGACCCACAGAGGAAGGACACTTCCACACTGTCAACAATACAGGTATTGAAACTAGAAGGAGAAAGTAGGGAAATGGATGTTGGTAAGCAACCAACCTGGACTACTACCAGGAGGGCTGGAAGTGTCAGTAAAGGGATTAAGAAGTAAAAATTGGCAGTTATAAAATAGTCATGGGGCTATGCAGTACAGCATAGGGAATGCAGTCACTAATCTCTCTATATAAAAGCCTGAGTGACCTTCATGACTGGACGACCGGCCAGTAGCTATGATGTGCACTGACCATCAGGGGGCAGATGCTCAATTCAAGAGCTGCCCCCGGTGGTCAGTGCGCTCCCAAGTCAACCACCCGCAGTCCTGCTTGCCCCACCTTGGCCCCCTACTCCTAGCCTGCTGCACCAATGGGTCCAATTGGGACTGGGTGATGGCCCAGATCGGCCCCGATAGCCGGCCAGGCCAAGGAACCCCACCCATGCATGAATCCATGCACCGGGCCTCTAGTATTGTAATAACTAGGTATGATGCCAGGTGAGTAGTAGACTTATCAAGGGGATCACTTTGTAAGTTATGTAAATGTCTAACTACTGTGCCATACACCTGAAACGAATATAATATTGAATGTGAACTGTAATAGAAAAAAAATATAGTATACTACAGCCAGGCTTGGAATAAATAACCCCTAAGGTCCTATCCAACTCTATGACACTCTTAGTGGTTGTGAGTGTCCATTATGGGCACAGGGGTTCAGAACATATTTGTGGGTGGTGGCAGTCTGAGGAACCAAAGCAGTTTCCCTTACTCAGTGCCACTGCTCAGGTCTGACAGAGTCCCACATGAGGAAGACACGTTGGTACCCATTGTGAGGAAGCTCCCAGATATGGAGTGGGCAATTCTGGGATCACGAAGAGAGGTGAAAGCTCTGGAAAGAGGACTGAAGGGACTGATTGACTTAAAGCCTGCCTATCATATGATGGTAAAGAGACTGTTGTGATTCCCAAGGGCATTCGCTTTTATCTGCTCTCTTGAGCTTGAAACGCTTGTGCTGGGCAGCTTCACTTAGAGCTCTTCCAGGCACTTCAACATGCCCACCCCTACTGCTGTCCTGAACCCGCTCTTTTGATTATGCTTGTCATTTGCACGATGGGCACCAACTAACTACCAGTAATTTACTTCATCCCTCCATGGACTTTTACCTGGGATGTCAGAGCAGCGCCTCTCCCATCCAGTGCTCCCTCTTCCTGTTGACTTAGAGATCCAGCGGACATGTAAATCTGACAGTGTCTTCTCCTTGACTAAAGCCCACCGGTAATTCCTGTAGAATAAATTCAAGTTCCTTGGCAGGGGATCAATGCCCTGCTGCCAGCTTTATTTGGAAGGCTCCCTCAGAGTTTATGCTAATCCCCTGCTCACATAGCCTTGCCGCTCTGTGTCTTCCTGATTTTGCTAATGATGTCCCCCTCTGCTAGGAGTGTCCTTCCACTCTTGTTTGATGTACGAACTCTTCATCGTTTTCAAGGTTCTGCTCATCACCCTATCAAGAAAGCTGCCTTGGACTCCCCCCTCCCGCTCCAGGGCTAGGTGGGCACCTGTCCTCTGTGCTCTCAGAGCACCCCATGCCCACCTCTTCGTGGGAAATCACCACAATATGGTGATCATTTGTTTACCTGCCCCCTCCATGAAGAGAGGGATGGTCTTATTCATCCTTTCTCTCAGCATGCACCCCAGTGCCTGGTGGAGAGCAGGCACCAAATAAATGGTTCTAGAACAGGATCATTAAAAAAAGGGTGGCAGCTGAGAGGAAGTTGAGGGGATGGGAGGAGGAAGGGAATGGAGAGAGAGCAGCAAGTGGGGAGTTTGTGCACCTCTCCTCCTCGGTTCAGTAGCTCCTTCTTGTGACTCGGAATCTGTGTTCTCGCTGCATTGTATCCATTCTGCAGTTCCAAGGAGAGCCTGTCTTTCTCTCATGGGGGATCTTTGATTTGGGTCATGCATGAATGGGACCGAACAGACAGCCTTGGGGACAATCTCTACTCCGCACACTCTCACAACCTGCTCTCTGCCTTCAACCTCAGCCCTCTGGGCACAGGCACACAAGGCCAGGCCAGGCAGGCAGGATCCTGGCAGTGGCCACTGCTTTGTGTCCTCATTCCTCACCTCCTCCACCAAGGCAGGCCAAAGAGGATGATTGTGGCTCCCTCTTAGGGTGGGTGGCCTCATGGCTTTGAGAGTTACACCTGGGTCTCTTTCACAGACCAGATCAGCACCCATAGGGAAACACCACCCTCTGCACCCCCTCACCTCCACCCCACCCCACCCTGTCAGCTACAGTAGAGGAATTTCAAAGCTCTTACAGGCTCAGACAGCGTTTCTAACTGCCCTAAAGCTCTGGAAATAGTCCTGGAAGGAGGGAAATAGAGGTGTCACCCAGCGCTGGGGCTTTGTGCCTGTGTGCGTGTTGGAGGCGGGGTGGGAAGCAGTGTGCCCCAGGGGAAGAGAGTGTAGCCCCTGCTCACGGGTAGCCCGATAACCTCAGACAAGCCACTTGACCCCTGG